GAAGAACATTTGACAAACAGAACTTTCTACATCATCAAACTGATCATTCAAGTTGCTGTTTGTGTATTTATGACTCAGCAGGTTTCATCATATTTCCAGAAGAACTTTGATAATTCTATGAAAGAACTAAAACACACATTTATGTTTTTGTGGTAAAGATTCATGAGTTATTCACAGGACTCTCTGGTAAACGCAGTCTTCACATGTTTGCACCTCCTTCAGCTTCTGTCTCTAACGAACTCTCTCTGTCTGCAGTCTGTATGTATAAAGAGCCGTCGCTGCACGAGTTGGAGGAGAAGCTGCTGAAGTCCTCGAGGAGCCCGACGCTGAACAGCGAGGGTCGGCCGAGGAGCCTGGCTCAGGAGGCGCAGCAGCAGGAGGACTCCACAGAGCAGGACGGGTCGTAGCCTGCAGCGCCCCCCGCAGGCGGAGCAGGAGAACTCCCATTTTAACACTCCCTCTGTTCAGCAACAACGACAACCACACGACGACGACGACAACAACAACAAACCGCCACGACGACGACGGCAACGAAAACAAAGAAAAAAAAAGAAGCTAAAAAAAAAAATATTAAAATCGGGGGAAAAAAAAAAATCTTCTTCTTGCTCGTGATGAAATATTTTAACCGGGGCGGGCGGCGAGGGGGCGGGGCTTGTTTAGGGGATAAAAAAAAATATAAATAAAAAATCAGGACGTTGATGATGATGATTTACATTTTATGCAAAAAGCCCTGCTGAGACAGCGCCGGGTCGCTAGCACACCTACTCTTCATCGCCACATCGTAATCATCATCATCATTCGTGTCACGACGATGACGAAATGTTTTCCCGAGTCGAGCGAGCGCTGAGAACTCCGAAGCTTTAAGCCATGTAGAAACTTCACTTCCTTTCATTTCCGAATGAATGCAAAAACTTTCGCACTTTCGACACGCCGCGCTTCTTCTTCTTCCTCCTCTTCCTCCTCCTCCTCTTCTTCTTCTTCTTCTCCTCCGTGTTGTTCCGTCCAATCAGAAGGAAGATTTTTCAGTTTCCTCAGCTGCCACATCCGGTTTGTTTTTGTGTGTTTTCCGGGAGGTTCTGTGGGTTCTGTTGCAGTCACTGCCGATTCAAAGAGTCCGGAAGGCGGACGAAGGACTTCGGGCTGCTTCCCAAAGACGAGGAGGAGGTCGGTCGGCTCGCCTGCTTCACGTTCAGGACGACGTGAGAATCTGTCTGTTTACTGAAAATCACTGACGAACTCCTCGTTCCCGCTGGTTCCTCAGCAGGCGGCAGAGTTCACATCGATCTGCTGCAGAGAAACAATCCATCCAAGAGCGAGGTCTGGTCGATGACATTCGTTTCCCACAATCGGGTCAATCTGGCGCAAAAATGTGGATTTTTTAACCCTGAGTCTTGTCTGCAGGGTTTGACCTGAGGCTACAGCCTGAGAGGCAAAACTCAGGGCAAAATAAACGAGACCACGCGTCTTAAAATCAGCGTCCAGTCGAAAGATGTGAACGATTCTTGCCGGAAATCTTCACGAGGAAGTCGTCTGGATGTTACCCGACGAAAAGTACGACAGCAAGTATTCACTGACGACCTTTTTTTCACAATTAAAGCAGAATAACAATTAAGTAATCAGTAAATAAAACTCAGGGGTCGTGTCCGAAATCAGAGATTCCCTGATGCAGGACTCTGGTTGATCCTGTTTGAGTCGTGGCGCCCCTTTATGAAACCCTTTGCGAAACCCGACTACGTAGATCATTCACAAAATCAGCGTCCGATGCGATCGTCTGCTGCAGAAAACCTTGAGTACGACTTTTGATCTCTGGGAGTTTGAGCCGTTCTTGAGCTAAGAAGCCAAAAAATGCTACGAAAACCGGCACGGAAAACTACGACGCAAAGTGTTCGTTGACGAAATTCGAATTCAAAACAGGAACTTGGACCAAATGTTTCGCTCTGTTCGTCATTTAGTACAATCAGGAATCGTGTCCAGAACCAGCTGTTTGATTTGAGAAAAACTACGACAAAAAATATTCGTAGACGACCGACTTTTCAAAGCTAAAAGTAAATTAAAAGACATTTCGAGACAGGAACCAAATGTTCGTCAATCAATAATTGTGTCGGAAATCAGCTTCTGAGCGACAGGAAAGTCTTCAGTACGGTTTCTTATGCCGCCGGGTCCTTGAACGCACCACGACGTGAGCTAGCTTAGCGATGGATGATTTCTCTGCAGCGGTCGAAGCTCGTTCCGGAACCTGCTGCTCTGCGAACAATCGGCGGGAACGCAAAGTCCGACCGCAGCGCCTTCGTGCTGCGTTCAGGATCCCGCTCAGACGGAGAGTTTCTAGTGAAATATCGCATGATGTTCTCAGACCGGATTTAAGCGATTCTGACGGCCGGGTTGTGCGACTGGCGGACTCGTACCTGCCCGTCCAGGTGTGCGAACTCTGTACGATCCCCGACGAGGACGTGAAGAAGCCACAGCATGCGTTCAAGACACTGTTTGTCCTCTTTTTTTCCAACACGTTTTGTTTGTGTGAGGCGTTTTAAAATACAAGTTTAAAAAAAATAAAAAGGCCACGACCCCTTTCTAGTCCACTGGCCAATCACGGAGCAGGGGCGGGGCTTCAGGACTGCAGCTGTCAGTGATTGGTTCTGCTGATTGTCGATGGAGTTAATCGAGTTTTTGTTGATTCACACAAAAACAAGTGTTTTTCATCAAATCTGCACGTGAATATGAAGAATCCTGTTTTGTTTTTTGCCTAAACTGAGAAAAAAAAACAGGTTTGGGTTTAAAATTCTCTTTTTGTCAGCGCTATCTGTCGGTCTCGATGCCAAAAGCAGATTTCCAGTTTGTTTTTCTGCAGGTTTGACAAACTCCCGTGTAAACCGGCGACTATTTGGACGATCGAATCCTTGTTCTGATCGTTTCTTTCAACTAAAACTGTCAAATATTTGCTGATTCCAGCGTCTCAGATGTGAGGATTTGAGGCTTTTCTTTCTGTAACGTGATCCTAAACTACGTGAGAACATAAATAATCCTCTGATTAATCAGTCGTAACCAAACACGAGCCAGAACCAAGCAGGTGGATGTACGTTTATGGGTTCAGCAGCTCGTAGGAGTGACGTCACACAGTTTCCTGATCGTGGTGCGTTAAATGAACCTGGGAATCCTCAGCGTCTGAGCAGCAGCAGGAGGAGGCGGCGACCCCTGAGAGCGCCGTCGGCTAAAATGAAGCCAGATTTTCCCAGAAGCTGAAGGACTTGATGCCTGAAGCGTCGCCGTCCTCCGCTGCTGTCGGACCCGAGCCGCGGTGCGTTCAGGCGCCGGCTGACTGGAGGACTCGGCAGCGTCTGTATCACTGCCCTGCTTCGTCTAGACGAAGAGCACTGCCCTGAAAAACTGACAGCTGTTCCACTCCGACCTCGTCTGAACCTCATGAACCCGAAAAAAAGAATCGAACAACTTCCTGCTGCCTTTCAAAATAAAAGTCAGGAAACAGTCCAGCGATCCAGCGTTCGGATCGTCGCAGTAAAGTTACGCAAAGTTTTAGGTTTTATCGTCCAGCAGCTTTTAGGTCTTCATATGTTGGATTAAAAAAGTGAGTAAATTACAGGTAATTTAATCTAAATTAAAACAAACAAACAAACAAGTAATTTAGCGTCAAATTGAAACAAAAAATACAAAAAAAAATTGTAAGAAATCACAAGTATTTAATGTAAAATTTGCGGAAATTACAATTAATTTAATGAACATTAATATAAATAAGTGATTGAATGGAGAATGTAAATAGAAAACAAGTAATCTAATGTAAAATCCAAATAAAATCTAATTACCGTAATTTACTTATTTTTACATCAAGTTTCTTCTGGTCAAAACATTTTTTGCTTGTTTTTTTTCCCATATATTTGTGAGGTATTTTTATTCAAATTAAAAAGTAAAGTAAATGACAAATGATTTATCATCTAATAGACATTTTATCCCCTTTAAATTATTATTGTTATTTTTTATCTGCAAACACATTAAATCTCAGTATACTTTAATTTTAATCTATTTTTCTGCTCTCAGGCGGTTTTTCTTCTGTCAGCTGCTGGTTTCACTTCATTGTTTCGTCCTGACTTCAGCAGCAGTCGCTCCATCGATGGTTTGAAGGTTCAGGCCGAGTCGCTTCACTGCCCCAAACTTTGATCACTTTCCTTCTTCTTGAACCCTTTATTCCTCCGTCAGCTGCCGTCCGGCGAGTTTCCCAGAAACATCGGAAACGTTTCAGTTTACAGGAAGTGGCTTCAGGTGGTTTCCTCCTGCAGAAGGTCCTTCACTGCCGTCGACCTTCTGAGCAGGAGAAGCAGCAACATGTTGGTAAAGACGATGTGAGATCGGTCGTATCGCTGAAGTTCAGCCGAAACAGACGATCTGGGACAAGATTCAGAAGCTTCAGACATTAGTGAGTTAAAATAATGAAAGTTTTACGTTAAAAATGATCTAAAGGCAAACATCTGGAACATTAATTGGACAAAAAAAGAGATTTTTCTTTTGGTTTTATCACCCAAAATGTTTGAGGTCTGAATATAAAAAATATATAAAAAGTAAACTCTGAATAATTTTCTGTAAACTTTTTAGATTCATTTTTTTCTGGTGAAAAAGTCTTTTTTTAATTACATTTTTTTGGTTTTATTTCCCAAAATTTATCAGGTTTTGAGATGTTTCACGTAAGTAAACTAAAAGTAATTTTTCTATTTAAAAAAAAAAATCGTAATTTTCTGTTAAAAACAATTTTAAAAAGTAATTTTTTTGTAATTTGCTTCTGTTTAAAATCGGTTTAAATTTAGTGAGAAAATCATATTTTTTGGTTTTCAACAGATCTATTTTATCTGTTTTCTGCAACTGAATTACAAGGAATTTATTTTTTATTTTATTTTACTGTCAAATCTGAGTTAACAGAATAAATCACCGTAAAATTTACAGTAAAATTAAAATAAATTACAATTAATTTGCAACTTTTTCACTGATATTCCTTTAAAAAACAAATTCATACCCAACACATATTAAATGTTGATTTGTTTATTTCAATGCGAGTAAATTAAAAGTACAAATGTATGTAAATTACAAAAAATTTACTTTTTTTTTTTTTTTTTTTAAATTTGATCAACTAGCATCTATAAGTCTTGATTTATTGCTATATAAAAAAAAAAAAAGTTTAAAAATTCATGATTGTATTAGAGCAGGTCTGAGGATTAAAAATTCATACGAATTATGTCCAATTTTAGATTCTTCACATTTCTGGGATAAAAACAAAACCAGAAAAAAAACACAAAATCCAGTTATGAAGTATGTCTGAGTTAAAAACTCCGTTATGAATTAAATAAAAATCATTTTGGAGACAAAAATGAAAAAACTCCACGTAAACCCGTAATAAACGATCCACACGGTGGTTTTCTTTGGGCTGCAGACGAATGGTCTGTTTGGTCTTTGAACGCAGCACCGGTCCGGTGGTTTCTGGGAAACTCGTCTCCTCCAATCAGCCGCCGGGACTAAACCTCGTTTAACTCATCTT